CCGTTTCCGCCGCGATGGGATCTACGTCTTTCATCTTCGCCACCTTTTCGCGGCATTCAGGGGGTTTCACGGACTCCACCTCACAAGGGCGCTCGTACAGTAGGGTGTAAAGCTCCGGGTTGTGCGCGGGGTTGCGATACCGCACCGCGGCGGCGTGGACGCGCGCGCAGACACGTTGAATCGCCTCGCGTCCGCGATTTTGCACCTCCGGATCGCTTTCCAGACGCTCCGCGAAGCGCTGTTCGCGGCGGATTTGCTCCACCCAACACCGCGCGGAGGCCTCACTGGGTTTGAGCCCCATCGCTATCGTGCTCGTCGGCGCCAGGCTGCGCCTGTAGAGCTCAGGGTTGACGGAGCGCATCGCGGGGTCGTTTTTCCGCCGCGTGGGCATTTTTTCTCGACAGGGAGACCAAAAGAGGGGGGAGGAGGGGAAGAAATGACGAAGAAAGGAATAATAATAATAAAAAAAATAGAAAAAGGAGAAAATAAAAGAAGAAAACCCTGCCAGTGAGGTTTTAAGAGACTTGCTTTCCTTGGGTGGGGTGTGATGTATGGGTGTGTGTGTGTGTGTGTGTGTGTGGAATAAACACTAAAGGAGGGAGATCGACCACGGGAGAGTTGCTAAGGGGATGCACACATTTTGAATTCTCATCAGTTTGCTTTGCGGGAACCAAGGAAATAGGAATAGTGATTAGACGGGTTTTATCGTTAGTAATGATAAATAGCACACAAGGAGTCTTATCGAAACTCATTCCAGGATGGGATGCCCATGTCGGCACCCCACGTTCTCTGCCCCCCTTTCCTAATTAAATGGAAGCAAACGGGAAAAAAAAGTGAAGTAAAACACCGCTTCAATCCGCACAGCAATGGGGATGATGATGATGCCCTTTTCCACCGCCTCCCTTTCTGATTGACCTTTATATGTATCGCATATATTATCTATATAAATGCGCACTTCATCATCTTTTTCAATCCGCCACCGCTCTCCTTCTTCCTTTTCTTGTTATCTCACTTTTTAAAAAAACCTTCCCTTTAACTATGATTGCCAAGGCGCAATGTAATCTTCTCGTTAAGCTCGCGCATCGGCTCCCAGCCGAAGTGCCCGACTACCTGATATCGAATCACAATCTTGACCTCCTCATTCTTCAGCGTATTCGTGTGGAAGTCCTCCACGTAATACTTCGTTGCGTTATCAAATCGGATTTTTTTGTGCACGTGATCGATGTAGACGCCCTCCGCGTCGTGCTCTTTTTCCGTTTCCTGCCAATCATGCTTCCCTTTCGGCGCGACGTACTCCAGCACGCGGCGGAATAACCGCGGAAAAAGTGAAGGAGGCCTGACATCCCGGATGATGGCATCCAAAAAGACCGCCTCCGTTTGCATCCCGCGCCGCGTTGTGTACTGCGCAAGGAAGGTGACGTAAATCATCTTCGTATTCCAACCCCAACACCCCGAGAAGTCGACCTCGCCGGAGACGTAAAGCGCAATTTGATCCAATATCCGATGCATCAACCGGAGATCGCCCGAGGCGATTAGCTGTTGGAATTTCCTGCTCGTCTTGAGTAAACTTTGGTTCAATTTCAGCAGCTGCGCCTCCGTCGGGGGATGGATGTTATCCTCGAGTTCGTCATCGATGTAATACGGAGTGTTTGGATCGTAACTCGGCGAGGGTAGATAAATCGGATAGTAAACCTGCATCACGCGCGAGCCTGAGATGCTGAGGTCGTGGTACTTTGGTTTCTGAACGGCATTCCACATGAGGGTGGTGGTGGTGGTCATGAGAGACATCACTAAGAGTGTTGTGATCGTGAGGCTCGTGATATCCACCAAACGAGACCGCACCGTCGACATGATCAAGGATTCGGGATTCGAAGATGAAGTCGATTCGGTATCAATAATCAATAACGTGGATCAAGAAGGGAGGAAAAAAAAATGGTTTCTACGTTTTTTTCTTTGTATTTCCGAATACACGGCATAAAGACGACAATATTTGAATTTTGTCCCTCGGCTTTCTTCATGCGCTCCCCCATGCGTTTTTTTTTAAATTAAAAACAAGAAAGGAAACAAAGGTTGGAGATTCATAAGTATCACTAAGTACAAATAAAGGCATGTTTATACGCAGACATATATAGATAAATATATAATTTATTATTCACATCATAAGGCACTTTCGTTACTCTAAGTCATGTTCTTCTAAAATTTTCTCTTCCAGAGCAGGTTGGGCATCAGATGTTTCTTTTGGACACTCACTTTTGAGGACTCCCCAAAGGGGGGTGGGGGGAAATGCAGTATATTTCACACATTCCCCCCTCCCCTCTTCTCTCCCATATTTATACAAAACCCCAAGCAAACCAAGGGGCACCTTGAGTTGAAAGAAATCTTGACATACAAATGAACTGCTCCCCTGAGGAAGGAAACAGAAGCACAATGCATCCATATATATTCGGGAGCGAGAAGGAGAGCGAAATCGAGCACGAGAAAGCTCGAAAACAACTAACCATTCAAGATGGCAATCCACAACAACAACAACAACAGTCATCCTAATAGCAGCCCACAACGCGTCGAAGAAAGGGAGAAATGATTCCCCTCTGCATGTTTTCTTTGTATTCTTCTAGAGATAGAAATCGAGTCCTGAAATGGGAGCTCGCGATCGGGGTTCCTTTCCTCTCCTTTCCTTTTTTTTTTAAAATCATCTCCACGCCGGGGCTTTTACTTTTGCGCTGACGCCCACAACGTCGCCTGCACCTCCTCCTCCCGTGTGAGCAGCTCTCGCAACGATCGCAGCCGCTCCTTCAACGCTGCGTTTTCTTTCATCAGCGCGGGGTCGATCGGCGGGGGTCGCGCGAGGAGCTCCTCTATGGAATGCCCTCCCCCCCCCCTCCTCCTTTTTTTTCCCATTCCTGGCGGATTTTTTCAACCCATCCGCGATAAACGCGTTCGAGGGGCTCCCGTCGTAACGCCTGCTCCTCCACAAAGGCGACGTGCGCACAGGCGTGGTGGAGCACCGCCGCCACCGCCCGCGGCGAGACCCCCGTCAGGAGACGATTTCTTTCCCGTTCCTTATCTTCGTCGTTCAAACGACTTTCACGCGAAGGATTTCCATCCGTTTCCCGCGCATTTAAATCCTCGCTGTTTTCCTCGCGAAGGGGGGTGGAATCGCCGTCGCGGGCGCCCCCAAGCGCCCCACACGCCTCCATCACCCACGTAAGAAGCAACGCGCGTGATTTCACCGCCCTCTCGCCACTTTCATTTTCGTCTTGCTCTTTTTCTTCATTCAGGGTGAGGGCGAGGAGGTGCTCCTCCAGGATGCGATTCCGCTCTAAAAGATCCACGTTCATCTCCTGCAGCCCGAAGAGAACGCGCGCCTGCGCGGTGGAGGTGGTTTCTTTCGATTTTTCCACATTCGCATCGCTTTGGTCGTTTTTCTTTTCGTCCGTTCGGGCAGGGGGTGGTCGAGGGCGGGAAGGGGGGGGTTTGGTTTCCTTCCGCTCTTCGCGGTAGCGCTCGATCAGCTCGTCGTCGCGGCGACTTTTCTCAAGAAGGAGCGAGAGATGCGCGCGGAGTTGCGAGCATTCTTGCTGAACGGTTCCGTATCGAGCTTGCAGGGCGAGGTGTTTCATCTTTCCCTCCTCCAAGGAGCGGCGGGCGGCGTCGAGCTCCGCCGCGAGTTCCCTCGCCGCGCGAAGTCGACGGCCGTGGATCGACGCCACGCGATCCCGCGCCTCCGCGTCGACGTCTTTGACGCGATCTTTTTCCTTTTCCCTTTCCTTTCCGTCGCCTTTGCCGTCCTCATTGAGCCTCCGTTCGAGGTCTTTCACCTTGACTTGCAGGAGAACGATCTGCTCCGCGCGACCTCGCCAACCCCCTCCTCCTGGTGTGGGGGTTTCCCCCCCTTCGTTCACAACGCCCATCCCTCGAATCCACGCGTTCACCTCTTCCATGCTCTTCCCCACCTCCCGCGCGAGGAGCTGGCGGAGTTGGTGGATTTCGCGTTTTTGCTCGACGGCCTGGCGATCCCGCTCTCGGAGCTGCGCGTGGGCGCGTTGAAGGCGTTCTTTCAACCCCGCGGCCCCCTCCTCCGCCTTCAGGGCGCGCCCTTCCGACGAACCTCCCGCTCCTCCTTTTTCTTCGAGTTTGGCGTATAGCTCCCGCACTCGTGCGCGTTCACCCTCGAGCTGGGCGGCTAACGCACGGGTTTTCTGGAGTTGCGCGAGATATTTTCCTTCAAGAACACCCGCGACGCCGCCAGGGGCCTCGCCGTGGAGGTGGTAGATCGATTCGAGGATTTTCCGATTTTCCTCGAGACAGGCGGCGACGTTGGGGGCCTCGTGGGGTTGCCTGGGAGCCTCACACATCACCACAGGTGAAGGGTGGGGTGCGCTGATCGTGAATGTTGGATTTGAAACCTTGCGGGATATCGATTTCGGCAACTTTAGAAGGGAAAAGAAGCCACTTCAGTACACACACACACACATCCATAGATCTATCTATCTATCTAGATAGATAATGTATTATACGTTGTTTAAATCATTTAGTCGTTGGGTAGTGCTTTTGGGGATCTTTGTATTTGAACTCACCACCCTCCATCTTCGTTTCAGCCCTCCCCTTCCAACGCCCGATGCGCTGCCTTCACCCTTCCGCATCCCCCTCCCTTCCAAAAAAAAACAAAAACAAAAGAACGAACGAAAAGAGACCCCGAGCAAGGCGGTTCGCGCCCTTCCCATCAGAAAATCGAAACCCCCGCGCGCGTCGCCCACCACTGCCGCTCCCAATACCGGATTCCCCTTAACGCCCACTCCGCGATTTCGTTTTCGTCCTCGTCGGTTTCCGCCTTTTCGCGTTCGCAGACGTTTTCGGGGTTGGGGGCTGCGTTTTCGTCCTCGTGGGGTTCCCCCTCGGGCGGGTGCAGGCGGCGTGGGAGTGGGGGCCCCGCGCAGGGCAGCACCCCCGCCAGCGACCCCTCCATCACCTCCTCGCGGCAGCCCCGCTGAAAGGCCCCAGGGGCCTCCCCGCA